TTAAAAAGTATCGGTTCAATTTGAATCTTCGCAAATACTTGATAATAAGATTACAATTAAAATAAAATATGCTTATATCAAACATAGGGCAGCTATGTTCATTTTTAATTGAAAATATAGATCAAAATATGTTTCCAATTGAAAATTAGCCTATCTCGGGTCCCGCGGTGTGAAATGGAAAGGAGAAAAACTCTCACACTACTTCTTCCCTGAATCGAGTTTAAGTTTAAATCAGCTCACAGACCTGCTTTAGGCAGTACTATACCCATTATTATATCAAACAATATGTTGTCGAATTCAAAATTTCAAAGGCAGCCCGCCTCACATTTAAAACGATTAAAAAAAACGAACGAAAATGATTTGTATTGCATTCTTAAATAGTATTTGTTACTTCAAATCATATTTGAGTTATTAACTTCCCCGTCGTCACGGATTAGCAAAACTAAAAGGATTTATTTCGGTTGCAAACATAATCTACTCTACTCCCAAGCACAGTATACGTTTCATATGCAGACATCCATATGTGGTGTCGCCTCACATCACAAAGTATTTCAAACCTGCAAAATATTAAGAATAATTTAATAATTCATAAAATATTTGAAAAGAAAAGGATTTTGATGAAGTTTTCATTTTTTGCATACTTTTAAAATATATAGGTGCTAGAAACATACATTGATGTTAATTTTAAAGATGCTCAAAATACAATTTAGAAATTCTTTTGATGCACATATTTCCATGAAAACATATCAAAATTTATTTACACTTACATTGATTAAATACTTTATTGTGGCAACGTGCAAGCAAATTAATTAACACAATGGAGTTAACGTACGTATAAACACAATAAATACAATTATTCTATATTTAACAATTTATATAAATTTTACATGTTTATGCTAACCACTTAATATGTACTCTATGTATTGTCTAGATATAAAATATAACATACAAATATTTAACTAAATATGACACAAATTAGAACCATCACACTGTTTCTAAAAAGTTGCAGTAAAATTTGAATTAGCAATATTTAATAAAAATATCTTTTAATTTTAACTTTAAAATTTAATTGGCCTATTACCGATAAAAAAGTAGAGAAAAACTTTTACTCCTACATGTACTTTATATACTTAATGAAAACCATTCAGATGAAAACATATTTCCGCTATTTTTAACATTTCAATTTCATTATTTTAGCAATTTTTAAAAATTGAAGAATATTAAAAAAAAAACAATTAAATAAAGAAAATTAAATATAACGTTTATAATACCGATAGCATTTGCATGCAGTGCACATTTGCAATATTTACCAAAATTGTAAATATCGCAAAATATGAAATACCTAATACAATTGCTTACAACATACTTGTTAGTAAAACGGAACGATTGTTTCAAGAAAATTATCGGAAAATCAAAGTTTTAAATTTCTTTGGCATTTTGTGGAAGAAGGCGTCATAGTCAAAAAGTGGATACACGATTTTTCTCAATTTGCTATTGTCGACATTGAATCAATAGATTATTAAAGACAATAACAATTCATTATTTAGTAATTAATACCTATATTACATTTTTGTTTCATATTCTACGATATGCGCTACACAATTAGGCATATCAAGACATTATTGTCATTTTATCACCACATTTAAATTGATTATGCATTTCTAATATATCTTATAAATAGAATTTATTTTATTTGATATAATTTAACAAAAAAACGATTCAAATTATGTTGTGCGTTGAGTATTATTCAAAAGTTGTAAACATTTTTCAGTCTGTTTTTAAATTCCGCATATTTGGTATTTAAAATTATGTTATATTTAGTTAAAATCGTCTTATAATGGCATTTATTATTTACTAACGGTCTATTCGGTAACCGCAAAACTCAGCGAAAGAAATATTTCAACAAACATAAATATAATTTTAGTACATCAGTGTCATGTATACGAAACTAAGGATAACTATTCATAGTTATGTAGACTGGATTTTACAATACCATCAATAATTTTTCCGTAAATAAAAATTAAATCAAGTTTAGTAAATTGTAAAATTTTGAATTTTGAGAATAACGGCATAAAACGTAAATTTTATTTTGATCACGTTTTAATTTTAATTTGCGAATGTACAGAAGCGAACGGAAGAATTGATCAACCCCCAGAGATGTCTTTTCTTCATCTGAAATAAAAATTAAATAATTTCAGAATAATTTATACAGTAAATAAATAAGCAATAAAATATAAAATATACAATATTTTATGTTAAATATATTTATATTAATAATATAATTGATATAAGATCTATCTACATATATATATATATATATATATATATATATATATATACTAGCTGACCCGGCAAACGTTGTTTTGCTAAGTAATGTATATTCTAATCAATTTCTAGAGATATTCCGATATTCCGATATTCCGATATTCCAATATTCGGATATTCCGATATTCCGATATTCCGATATTCGGATATTCAGATATTCAGATATTCGGATATTCAGATATTCAGATATTCATATTCCGATATTCCGATATTCCGATATTCCGATATTCCGATATTCAGATATTCAGATATTCAGATATTCAGATATTCAGATATTCAGATATTCAGATATTCAGATATTCAGATATTCAGATATTCAGATATTCAGATATTCAGATATTCAGATATTCAGATATTCAGATATTCAGATATTCAGATATTCAGATATTCAGATATTCAGATATTCAGATATTCAGATATTCAGATATTCCGATATTCCGATATTCCGATATTCCGATATTCCGATATTCCGATATTCCGATATTCCGATATTCCGATATTCCGATATTCCGATATTCCGATATTCCGATATTCCGATATTCCGATATTCCGATATTCCGATATTCCGATATTCAGATATTCAGATATTCAGATATTCAGATATTCAGATATTCAGATATTCAGATATTCAGATATTCAGATATTCAGATATTCAGATATTCAGATATTCAGATATTCAGATAATCAGATAATCAGATAATCAGATAATCAGATAATCAGATAATCAGATAATCAGATAATCAGATAATCAGATAATCAGATAATCAGATAATCAGATAATCAGATAATCAGATAATCAGATAATCAGATAATCAGATAATCAGATAATTCAGATAATCAGATAATCAGATATTCAGATATTCAGATATTCAGATATTCAGATATTCAGATATTTAGATATTCAGATATTCAGATATTCTGATATTCAGATATTCTGATATTCTGATATTCTGATATTCAGATATTCAGATTCAGATATTCAGATATTTCGACATTCCGATACTCCGACATTCCGATATTCCGATAGAGCTAAATGTACAAAAAACGGCAGTTTTTGAGAGAACTAAGTGTCCGATTTGAATGATTCAAAGAACTTTCTGCTTGTTTTAACAATTTTGAAAAAAAATTGTTATAATTTTTTTTCAAATTTTATTTTCTTGAAATTTTTAAGTTACGAAGTTTCAAGTAACATTCGATGAATTAACAAACAATTATCTGACTACGTTCGGTAAAATTGCCAGCTACTTCATCATTGTAGAAATGTATTTTTTTGATGTCTTTCAAAAATTTGTTATCTACACCTTTTTACCCTATAGGCGGGGTAACTTGGAACGGTCAGGTGGCAAACACGTTTAAAACCTTATTTTAATTTAAAGGTATTTTACAAAATAATTACATTTTTAACTAATGCAAAAAAACTAACAACGGAAGAAAATACTTTTATTATGAATTTTCAAAGATGACCGATATTTTGTCAATACAATCAAACTGGAAGTTTTATATACTTTCTATAGAAAACATGGTATAATCCAATCCAAGTTGTTTTTGGTCTTTCGACTTATATTGTCGTAAATATTTACGTAAAACTTCCTATTAAAAGTAATTGAACACCATCTGTCAAGAACTTTTGACATTTCACGTAATAGCCACCGTCTATTGTTTTATTCAAATTACGCTTCTACAAAAATTTTTAATTAAAAATGTAAAGTTTCTACACGATTTTGGAATAATATCTCACCTTTTGGTCTTTCTCTGGATTGGCACGAATTTTTCAAGACTAAGACTGGCCAAATCGGCTTAGCCGTTTTCGAGTTTTACTTAGACATTTGAAAAAAAGCTCCATTTATATATATATATATATATATATATATATATATATATAACTCGTTAGAATAAAATGATTAGTATTAAATATAAATAAAATAAGGCTCAACGTATTCAACATATAAAACTGATGTACATTATTTAGGTTTTAAGTCCTTAGTCTCGATAAATTGAGCAGCATAAATTTGATAATTTTATAAAATACAATGCATAATACTCTTCTTTTATCTATGGTTACATTGAGCATCAATCGTAAGTCTGCATTTCATTTCTTGTACTTATGGATACATTTCTAATATCATTTTCTTTTTATAAAAAATCAGGAAACTATCAATTTAATTGGAATTGACTACTAAAAGCCGCAGAAATACTTTAAATGATATAATTCTGAAGTATGCTTTACCTGAATGTTATCTTCTTGCCTTTCCATATATGCCTAGTGATGCCAAAGGCGGAGGCGGTGGTCCTCGTCCATTATATGTAATTGCTGTTGAGCCATTCATCAGGTGTGATGTTTCCGTACCGTCGTTCAGATCTAAGCCCGCTACCATTTGCATGATTTCTCTTTCCTTTTTAGCATCTTCCCTGGTTTCCTGTTGTTGAGGCATCTTTGAAGGTTGAGGTGAAAATTGTAATGATGCCAGGCTTCCGTGACTTCTGCTTCGGTGTTCCTGTCGTATTGAATAACTAAAGGCGCGCTCGTTTAAATGTCCTTTACGACGGTAAATACCAGTACCGTTAGGAGAATCGCCGCCACCCGACGTTCCATTTTCCTGACCTAGCCTGTCAAGGCCCTCAGCTTGAGACAGAGATAATTTTCTTGAAATGGTCGCCAGTGGTCGCTCTAATGTAGGAGGATAAACAAACATTGGAGCCATCATTGGTGTCATCGGGACAGGAATATTTGCAGCATTTTTGCTATGGCGCTGCTTCTTTCGGGCCATTTTCGGTGCTTGTAAAGTAGCATATTGTGGATAACGCTGCATTTGTTGAGGAAATTGAGGTTGGGAATGCATGAATTGCTGAGGGGGTAACATAATAGGAGGAGGCCGACTTCGATGCGAAAACGTGTGGAATTGTCGTGGAATTGGCGCTGCGTGATATACCATCATAGGTGGTGCTCGCATAAGTTGCTGTTGACCTGGTGCTGGTCTCGACCGTTTCTTTTTACGATTTTGGTCTTTAGATTCCTTAGTAAGAGGCGGAGGAGGTGGCGGTGCTGGTTCAGATATTTGCCTCACTCTGGCAGGTCTACCTAGTGTTGATCCTCCACTATATATATCTGCATCTAAGTCATTTAATCTGTCTACAGATCCACCCCAAATCTTATGATTCTCATCCCCATTATATATTGATCCAGAGTCGTCTGCGGCTAATTCTGCACTACTTGCATATGTAACAGTGCTATCTTCGTGTCTCAACTTTGTTCCAATTGTGTCTATCGTAGCAGTGCTACCGGCACGTGAGCCCCATCCGACTGGAGCACTTAGGGTTCCGCATAAGCTTCCGTCACTAGATCGAGACTGATGCTTAGCATATGAACTGTCAGCGTATGCATGAAAACAACAACGCACTAAGGCGTTTGCCGCAGCTTCACGTTTACATATGAATGCGTGGCATTCGAGAACTTTTATACCTGAAGTCTACGTAAAATTGCAGCAAACAACGGAGGGTGCCTAGACCTAATATATATAGAACCTGTGTACGGAATTGCTGCTACTTCCCGTACCATAATTCAAAATTTTTAAAAACTTTACAATTCTTCGAAAACTGAAAAATGAGATTTTTAATTTTTTTAAAAAATTTTATTTTTTTTTTAATTTTAAAATTTTTAGAAATCTTGATTTTTCAATGCAGTCGCGCTGTAGTCTAACGGTAAAATTATAATTCTTGGTTCTAAACCCATAAAAGGTGTTAACAAAAGTTGTACTTATTACCTCTATAAAATATCTGAAAATTTTATGAGCATATGTCTTATAAACACTCTTGACATGACATGGCATTTTTTTCACTGTTTTAATCGTAAATTTCACCAGTTGTTCATGTTATCAATATAAGTAAAAAACGTTCGTTAAATCGGACGCTCCAATCTCTCAAAAACAGAATTGCCATTTTTGACACTTTTTGCCCCGTATCTTCAAAACGGCTGGACATGCCTCGGCCAAGAAATAGGCATCGAATATTTTTGAACCATTTAAATCGATTAATCCTCAAAATCGACGACGAAAAATTGTTTACGCACACATACATATACGAACACATCGCATACATACATTACACACACTTAATGAATAACAAACAATGTACATAATTGGCATGAGAAATTTGATTTGGCAGTGATATTTGTAATAAATTTTAACAATTTTTGAGAAACATACTTATTTATCGCAAAACGTTGTGGGTAATCAATTACTATAGACATACGTATATTATTATATTACAATTTTGTAGATTAAGAACAATAATGGTAAGTAGAGTATATCACATGTTCAGAATATTGAAGAAGCAAACTTCAAACACAAGTATCATGCGATGAATATTTCCTCGGGAATGATTCAAAATACCTCTACCCAGACATTCAGGCGATCAAGGAGTCAGTTCGAGCAAAAGCAAAAACGCTCATTCTAAATGCTCGAATCGTTAAACATAATGCAAGTCGCGGACCGTTTGTTCGCAAGTGTAGGAAGGGAATGATGTTTTCTCATCAGCAATAAATCACTCGTTCAAACATCGCGCGCGCCGTACAGAAGATGTTAATACTCCGCGGACCGCAAACGTCGCCCTCGGGCCAATACGGAATGCACGGCCTTCTTGAAAGTCCCATTTGAAATGCAACTGACATTGACACCTTCTGTAACTAGGTGTGAACGAGATAAGCTGATACAGGATAGATTTGGTACAAAAGTCTGCAAAACAAACTGTTTATCATGTATGTGCCCATTGGTGGTTATGTGGTACTTATGTAGAAGGAGAGACTGAGTACGATTGTGCCAGGTTACGGTAGTAACAGTCGTCGTAACAGCTAATCTATTCTGATTTCAAGATAAGGTCCAAATGGAGAAAGATGATGTATATTTGTTCGAACAAGTTTACCCGCCCTTACATTAACATGATCTGTAGACCAAACTACTCTGAAAAAGCAAAAATAAGTTTTTTTAAAGTCGTTGTAAACCATTTTAGTGTTTATAGCTATTGCTATCTAAACTATTTTTATGCCTACAACTGTCCCTCAGGTGTAGATTCACTCTTTTCTTATATGATTTGATTTTATGATCATCGTATTAAGGACAGTATTTCAGTATTTCCTCGTAGATAAATGTTCAAATTACCATTTACTTTACTTTTCTCCTAGCTAATTGGTAAATTAACAAAATTATTGTTAAAAAAAGTGGCACAACCGTACCTAGACTCCTTTATGTCTACGTACACAGTTTACAAATTTCTTTGATTGCACTTATTGATTTTCGACATCAATGTCTTATATACTGACTAAATCTCTTGAAAACCATGTTATAAAGTTAAAGATTTTTACCTCGTATTTCAGAGTTTTACATGCGATTCAAATGTTGTTAAAATCGCCGATGTATTATAGTTGGTACTAAAACAACAATTAAAATGCAGTAAATTTATTATACAGCCAAGTGTTCAGAATAAAGGATTCCGCAGATGAACGCTGGTTTCGCGTTTTGTAATGTCTTTTGCTTTAATGGTCTACTCAAGAGCTTTCTCAGAGTGAAAGCTCAAGGAGTCGATGATGACTAAGAGACGTGAAATTAATTTGTTGAAACCAGTGACAAATTAAATGTTAATTAAAATCATGAGGTAATGGATATATGAAAATATCGTAAATCAAAACAGTTTAAGACAACAAAACAATATTGTGCAAACCATATCAGAAGTTATAATTAGAAATTTTCTGCAAAAGCATAGTGTAAAATTACCAAAAATTCTAAAACAAAACTAAAATGTTAAATAAAAATGTCTGGACACCATTTATATAACGATTTAAATGATGAATAAGCATTATATTGTCGATACACTTTATTTATAAAAACATATTCTACATAAATGTTTATCTGCTATTAAATGGCAAACTTAAATCTATATAATATTACATTGGCAAAACTAGTTAAATAGTGAATTAAGGACTTTAAATACAAATATATAGGATGTAAAACTACCGACTGATTTAAATAAAAAAAAAAACATTTTGAGTCCTAACTCCAAAAATGTAATAAAAGCATTGGAATCCCGCGAAGAGAATAAATAAAAACTATAAAAGCTCGCGACCTCAAGAATGCTAACTGACCTCTATGGCACGTTTACCTAGTTCTTTTTTTGAATATCGACTTCCAAAGGAAATGTGAAAGTATAAATAAAATTTTATTGCTCCGCAATAGTTTATGTTTTTAAATAATATTACCTTTTGCAATAAAAATGCAATTAAATCAAAACTGGGCATAAACGTCGGGGATTACAAAGAAAACATTTTTATTAACTCGTGATTTGTAAAGGAGACATAAATTATGATATTGCGATATAATTTATCTGGAAATATATCACCATAACAAGGTATAAGGTGTATTTTTCTTTACAGCATGTTGCAAAAACTTCACACTGGTATGTGTAATTCACCGACATCGTCAATAAGAATTTAGATTTAGCGACTTTTCAAATTCTGACGATAGATAATTGAAGTTATAAAGCGGCCAATTATTGCAAACTTTAAACCACTTTTCGAAAGCTTCTAAATTGGATACTAAATAATAAGAACAAGGAAACCATCCAGTTGACTTTTACCAAAAACTAACCAACACTATCCTCAAGTCATAACTCGGAAATGTTTAAATTTTAAGCATAAATTGATTCTGCAAAATCTAAAAATAGCTTTTTGGCCAAAAAATAAATTGTCTTGAAAGCTTCATCGAATGGCTTTTAAATTATGGTAATCGGAACAACCGATTATAAAAAATCTTCAACAAAAAATCAAATTTATTGGCCTTAAAGTAAATGTAAATATGAGCATGACGTAAACGTTTATATCATTATTATTGTAATATAGCGAGAAGCAATAGGCAATAGGAAACATTTTTTCAAAATGCATCATGTTCATTATTATAATGGTAAAATATAGTCACTATTGTTCAGAATATAAAATCAGAACAATACAATTTTTTCCGTAGCTCAGTGTAATTTTTTTCTATTCCGTAACACGAAACCACCTCGGCACGGGTTCAATGAAGCGCGTGTTCTCTTCTTATTGTAATTGGCCGACGATCGGGGAAGATAAGCATCTAATTGGCCGTTTGTAACTTTATATTTGCGCGGTGAATTTGAATGGGAGATAAACAAAACAAAACAATAATAGCAAGGACTGACAGTGAGTGAAAGTGCGGTAGGAAAATGTAAAAACTCTATCACATATTTTATTTCATTTGATCAGGTCGCGTGGTCGAGGGCATGGTCGGGTGTTATCAAGATAGCGGATTTATATTCCCGGTTATATATTTTTTTCAAATTTGTTCTCAAGCCAAACTATTGAAATGAGTATAAAATACAAATACTTTCGTATTCATATCATTCATCATGTAATTGATATACGATAAACTATCAAAATGTTAATTGGCTGAAAATTTGCATTTCAAAAATCCTAAACAATATAAAACGATGCTCTCTGAGCATATGATTAATCTCACATATTCATTTAATACATTAACGTTATTATATAATTTTTTGTACGGAAATTAGTTGATCATAGAAGACTTGCTGGATCGTGTTTCATTTCTCTAAATTCCATTTATACCAATAAACAAATTTTTATGTCCATTTTTCAGTTGATCCACTTGGTCACGCATGTTAACATAACCACAATTTTCAAAAAATGATTTTAAGTAATTTTATAGTTTATAATGCTTTTTACAATGTACTTATTTATTAAATACTAGAACTTATTTACTAAATACTAGAACTATCTCAAATTAAAATTTTATTCATAAATAGGTTAAATCTAATCCACTGTCATGTCCCATAGACATTTAATCTAAATAATGTCTTCCTAATAGTCGTATGACAAATTTGTAATCCGATATTTTGATCGCATGCTCTCGGTCTGAACCGAGGATTAGCCCCGTGAATTGATGACTATCAATACAGTTGTAATCCAATCTACCCTTTGCTACCGCCCGCATTAATTCAACTAATGACCGCCCCATGTGGTAGTAGAAACTACCAGCCAGCCACTACACAATTGTGCTAAATATCAAACATTACCATCACAAATGATCTGTAATAGTTGTATGAATTGATATTCATAAATTCACAATGTACGTTTTAATTAAAACTGTTGTTATACATTGGAATATAGTTGGCTCTTGCAAAAGAATGGTTGATTCATAATTTATCCATTGCAATTATTATAGAAATAATTGACAAAATTTGTTGAAGATATTATATATTTTATTACATATAGTATATTGCCGACCGTATTGAATCAGCATTCATTATTTACAACATAAGAACAATTCTATCATTTATTAACACCACACTTAGATTTCTCTGTTCGCTAAATATTTGTCAACTATGTCATCTTTGTGCAGAAAATTATTACCGGTTATAAAAATCATAATATATAAACTACAATGTCTGCAATATCCATTACACACAATGCCACGAATTGAATAAAACGTCGCACCTTTATTCTTTATATCAATATTAAACTTTAATACAATATGC